TATTCTTGTTCACTGATTTGATTTTGATTTTTTATCTGTTGATTCTGTTTGTTGTTGTTTTTAAGAGTTAAATATTTGACACTTCTTGTTTATAAAATGTGTTGTACAAAAAGACAAACAAAACAAAAAAAAACGGTGGAAAATCCTGGAAGTCTGTCCACTGTCAAATTAATGAACCAAACTTGAACAAAACAGAAAATACAGTTTGAAAAAAAAAAAAAAAAGTTTGATAAAATAAAAAAATTAAATAAAATAAAAAAACTGTGCCCAAAATAAAATGGACCATAAGTCAACTACCCTTAAGCAGAAACACCTGAAACCAGGACTAAACCAGGACTAAACCAGGACTAAACCAGAACTAAACCAGGACTAAACCAGACTAAAACCAGGACTAAACCAGGACTAAACCAGGACTAAACCAGGACTAAACCAGGACTAAACCAGAACTAAACCAGGACTAAACCAGGACTAAACCAGGACTAAACCAGGACTAAACCAAAACTAAACCAGGACTAAACCAGGACTAAACCAGAACTAAACCAGGTCTAAACCAGAACTAAACCAGGTCTAAACCAGGTCTAAACCAGGACTAAACCAGGTCTAAACCAGGACTAAACCAGGACTAAACCAGAACTAAACCAGGACTAAACCAGGACTAAACCAGGTCTAAACCAGAACTAAACCAGGTCTAAACCAGGACTAAACCAGGACTAAACCAGGTCTAAACCAGGACTAAACCAGGTCTAAACCAGAACTAAACCAGAACTAAACCAGGACTAAACCAGGTCTAAACCAGAACTAAACCAGGACTAAACCAGGTCTAAACCAGGACTAAACCAGGACTAAACCAGGACTAAACCAGGACTAAACCAGAACTAAACCAGGACTAAACCAGGACTAAACCAGGTCTAAACCAGAACTAAAACCAGGTCTAAACCAGGACTAAACCAGGTCTAAACCAGGTCTAAACCAGGTCTAAACCAGAACTAAACCAGGACTAAACCAGGTCTAAACCAGAACTAAACCAGGTCTAAACCAGGACTAAACCAGGACTAAACCAGGACTAAACCAGAACTAAACCAGGTCTAAACCAGAACTAAACCAGGTCTAAACCAGGAACTAAACCAGGACTAAACCAGGACTAAACCAGGTCTAAACCAAGTCTAAACCAGGACTAAACCAGAACTAAACCAGAACTAAACCAGGTCTAAACCAGGACTAAACCAGGTCTAAACCAGGACTAAACCAGGACTAAACCAGGTCTAAACCAGAACTAAACCAGGACTAAACCAGGACTAAACCAGGACTAAACCTACAGGGTCAGAGGAAAATAAAGTCACATTTCGTTGTTTATTTAGAAACAGTAAAGTTTAATATAAAAACACAACACGAGACACAACAGTATTTTACACTCCTCTTCCTCTTCTTCTTCTTCCTCTTCTTCTTCTTCTTCCTCTTCTGCATCACTTCAGTCCAGTCTGAAAGAGTCCATCATCAGTCCAAAACAGATCCAGACCCGGTTTAATCCAGACCATCTTAAGTCCAGACCCGGTTCGGTCCAGGGTCCAGGGTCTAGTCCAGGCCTCCGAGGTCGTGCTGCTTGTAGGACTGAGACAGACCCCCTGAGGACGACACAAAACCAGAGTGAAACAAACCACAAATCAACTCTCAAACTCAAATCTCAAAACTCAAATCTCCCAGGACACGTTTCGCTTTACGGCGTGAACGTTTCAAAGTCCCTGTACCCGATTATTTCACGTATTTGCGTAAAGTTCGGCTTCGCTCAGATCCATTTATTCACGGACAAAATGTCGAAATAAAATCTCGGGATCTTCGTCATCGTCGCGGGTTTGTACGGACATTTACGACCAAAACGACAGCAGGTTCTCAAGGTCAAGTCGACAGGAAACAGAAACTGAGTCGGGGCTCGGGCTGAGGATCTTTACGAAGCTGCCGATACAATACGTCGATACTGCGCGCTTTCGATTCGATGCGATACGACGTACGGAGTGTCCCAGAAAATCGGACATCGTTTCTGAGGTCACAGAATGTTTAGAAACAGATCGAGATTCGATACGTGAGGTTTTTTATTTTTGTTGTGTTTTCAGGTTGAGCCGTTCACTCCCACTGGTATCGTGTCTGGTATCGTGTCAGTGTCTGGTATTGTGTCTGGTATCGTGTTTCATGTCTGGTATCGTATCTGGTATCGTGTTTCATGTCTGGTATCGTATCTGGTAACGTGTCTGGTATCGTGTCGGTGTCTGGTATCGTGTTTCATGTCTGGTATCGAGTCTGGTATCATGTCGGTATCTGGTATCGTGTCAGTGTCTGGTATTGTGTCTGGTATCGTGTTTCATGTCTGGTATTGTATCTGGTATCGTGTTTCACGTCTGGTATCGTATCTGGTAACATGTCTGGTATCGTGTCGGTGTCTGGTATCGTGTTTCATGTCTGGTATCGAGTCTGGTATCATGTCGGTATCTGGTATCGTGTCAGTGTCTGGTATTGTGTCTGGTATCGTGTTTCATGTCTGGTATCGTGTCTGGTATCGTGTTTCATGTCTGGTATCGTATCTGTTATCGTGTTTCATGTCTGGTATCGTATCTGATAACGTGTCTGGTATCGTGTCGGTGTCTGGTATCGTGTTTCATGTCTGGTATCATGTCGGTATCTGGTATCGTGTCAGTGTCTGGTATCGTGTTTCATGACTGGTATCTGGTATCGTTCTGGTATGTGTTTCATGACTGTATCGTGTCTGGTATCGTGTCATGACTGTATCGTGTCTTATCGTGTCTGGTATCGTGTCTGGTATCGTGTCTGGTATCGTGTCTGTGTCTGGTATCGTGTCTGGTATCGTGACTGGTATTGTGACTGGTATCGTGTCAGTGTCTGGTATCATGTCTGGTATCGTGTCAGTGTCTGGTATCGTGTCAGTGTTTGGTATCGTGTCTGGTATCATGTCTGGTATCGTGTCAGTGTCTGGTATCGTGTCAGTGTTTGGTATCGTGTCTGGTATCATGTCTGGTATCGTGTCAGTGTCTGGTATCGTGTCAGTGTTTGGTATCGTGTCTGGTATCGTGTCAGTGTCTAGTATCGTGTCTGGTATCATGTCAGTGTCTGGTATTGTGTCTGGTATCGTGTTTCATGTCTGGTATCGTATCTGGTATCGTGTTTCATGTCTGGTATCGTATCTGGTAACGTGTCTGGTATCGTGTCGGTGTCTGGTATCGTGTTTCATGTCTGGTATCGAGTCTGGTATCATGTCGGTATCTGGTATCGTGTCAGTGTCTGGTATTGTGTCTGGTATCGTGTTTCATGTCTGGTATTGTATCTGGTATCGTGTTTCACGTCTGGTATCGTATCTGGTAACATGTCTGGTATCGTGTCGGTGTCTGGTATCGTGTTTCATGTCTGGTATCGAGTCTGGTATCATGTCGGTATCTGGTATCGTGTCAGTGTCTGGTATTGTGTCTGGTATCGTGTTTCATGTCTGGTATCGTGTCTGGTATTGTGTCTGGTATCGTGTTTCATGTCTGGTATCGTATCTGTTATCGTGTTTCATGTCTGGTATCGTATCTGATAACGTGTCTGGTATCGTGTCGGTGTCTGGTATCGTGTTTCATGTCTGGTATCATGTCGGTATCTGGTATCGTGTCAGTGTCTGGTATCGTGTTTCATGACTGGTATCGTGTCTGGTATCGTGTTTCATGACTTGTATCGTGTCTGGTATCGTGTCTGGTATCGTGTCTGTGTCTGGTATCGTGTCTGGTATCGTGACTGGTATTGTGACTGGTATCGTGTCAGTGTCTGGTATCGTGTCTGGTATCATGTCAGTGTCTGGTATCATGTCTGGTATCGTGTCAGTGTCTGGTATCATGTCTGGTATCGTGTCAGTGTTTGGTATCGTGTCTGGTATCATGTCTGGTATCGTGTCAGTGTCTGGTATCGTGTCAGTGTTTGGTATGTTCTGGTATCATGTTATCGTGTCAGTGTTGGTATCGTGTCAGTGTTTGGTATCGTGTCTGGTATCGTGTCAGTGTCTAGTATCGTGTCTGGTATCATGTCAGTGTCTGGTATCGTGTCAGTGTCTCGTATCATGTCTGGTATCTTGTCAGTGTTGGTATCGTGTGGTATCGTGTCTGTATCGTGTCAGTGTCTGGTATCGTGTCAGTGTCTGGTATATCGTAATCTGTATTGTGTCTGGTATCGTGTTTCATGTCTGGTATCGTATCTGTTATCGTGTTTCATGTGTCTAGGTATCTGATAACGTGTCTTGGTATCGTGGTATCGTGTCGTTTTCATCTGGTATCATGTCGTATCTGGTATCGTGTCAGTGTCTGGTATCGTGTTTTCATGACTGGTATCGTGTCTGTATCGTGTTTCATGACTGTATCGTGTCTGGTATCGTGTCTGGTATCGTGTCTGTGTCTGGTATCGTCGGGTATCGTGACTGGTATTGTGACTGGTATCGTGTCAGTGTCTGGTATCGTGTCTGGTATCATGTCAGTGTCTGGTATCATGTCTGGTATCGTGTCAGTGTCTGGTATCATGTCTGGTATCGTGTCAGTGTCTGGTATCGTGTCTGGTATCATGTCTGGTATCGTGTCAGTGTCTGTATCGTGTTTGGTATCTGGTGTCAGTGTCTGGTATCGTTCAGTGTTTGGTATCGTGTCTGGTATCGTGTCAGTGTCTAGTATCGTGTCTGGTATCATGTCGGTATCGTGTCAGTGTCTGGTATCATGTCTGGTATCGTGTCAGTGTCTGGTATCGTGTCAGTGTCTGGTATCGTGTCAGTGTCTGGTATCGTGTCAGTGTCTGGTATCGTGTCTGGTATTGTGTCTGGTTTCGTGTCGGAGTCTTGTGGGATTTCGGTGGATTTCGGGCTCTTCCCGGGGGCGGGGCGAGTCGCTTCGGTCGGGTTTGGGCGCATTTCTTTTCAACAAACATGCAAACAGAATTCATCGCGGCCGGAAAAGTTATTGAGCTAGAGAATCAGGACGTGCGTTTTAGCATGCTAGTCGCTGATGGTAAAACTCTGTGGGAGTTTGTGCGAAGCTTCGATATAAACTCGTGGTAAACGAGGAAGACGTCTGGACCACTGCAAACTGTTCCAAATGAAATCATTCTGTTTTTCACCTTCAAAACAGTAAAACGTTACAGAGAATAAAGCTGCTCTGTGGAACTTTTCCGGCGAAGGGTCCGTCCAACACTTTTCCCCATGGAGATGTTACTGCTCCGTTATCTGTTTTTTCCATTTTTCATTTAAACACAAAATTGAAAACTAAAAAAACGACTCATTATCAGTTTTTTTCATTTTGGAGACAAATAATGCAGAAAATCGTTGTTTTTTCATTTTCTTATTTTTGGTTTTATATTGAAAAACGAACGAACGACACACGGATTTTCACTTAGTCTGTTTTTCTAGGAGTTTCCGAGCTCTAAAACCTCCCGTGATCGAGTAAACGTAAAGTAGAGCTGCTTAATGTCACACTGCGGAACATTCCAGGCAGAGCTACGACCGCGTATCCATGGAAACAAGCAGGAGACGGACCCCCACCCCACCCCCACCTGCCGAGGAAAAGGAGAAGCACAGCAGAGTTTAAACAAACCCACACGAGAGCAGGAAGCACACAGACGCAACACGACCAAATAAGGTAAAGACAGGTCACATGATCAGCAGCAGGGCGCAGGGCACAGGGCACAGGGCGCAGGGCACAGGGCGCAGGGCACAGGGCGCAGGGCACAGGGCACAGGGCACAGGGCGCAGGGCACAGGGCACAGGCAGCGGCACAGCACGGCTCTCGGTCACTCGGAGACTCACGGCTCATGTCATCAGAATAATCTTCATGTACTGGACTGTCAGGCTGTACGGAGGATTTTCAAACGAAACAAACGCAGAGATCGAGGAGCGAGATCGGGGAGCGAGGTCCAGGAGCGAGGTCGAGAAGGGAGGTGGAGGAGCGAGGTCGAGGTCGAGGAGCGAGATCCAGGAGTGAGGTCGAGGAGCAAGGTCCAGGAGCGAGGTGGAGGAGTGAGGTCGAGGAGCAAGGTCCAGGAGCGAGGTGGAGGAGTGAGGTCGAGGAGCAAGGTCCAGGAGCGAGGTCGAGGTCGAGGAGCGAGATCCAGGAGCGAGGTCCAGGAGCGAGGGTCCAGGAGCAAGGTCCAGGAGCAAGGTCCAGGAGCGAGGTGGAGGAGTGAGGTCGAGGAGCGAGATCCAGGAGTGAGGTCGAGGAGCGAGATCCAGGAGTGAGGTCGAGGAGCGAGATCCAGGAGTGAGGTCGAGGAGCGAGATCCAGGAGTGAGGAGGTCGAGGAGCGAGGTCAAGGAGCGAGATCCAGGAGTGAGGTCGAGGAGCGAGGTCAAGGAGCGAGATCCAGGAGTGAGGTCGAGGAGCGAGGTCCAGGAGCGAGATCCAGGAGTGAGGTCGAGGAGCGAGGTCCAGGAGCGAGATCCAGGAGTGAGGTCGAGGAGCGAGATCCAGGAGCGAGGTCCAGGAGCGAGATCCAGGAGTGAGGTCGAGGAGCGAGGTCCAGGAGTGAGGTCGAGGAGCGAGATCCAGGAGTGAGGTCGAGGAGGAGGAGCGAGGTCGAGGAGCGAGATCCAGGAGTGAGGTCGAGGAGCGAGGTCCAGGAGCGAGATCCAGGAGTGAGGAGGTCGAGGAGCGAGATCCAGGAGCGAGAGGAGTCCAGGAGCGAGGAGTCGAGAGGAGCGAGGTCCAGGAGCGAGCGAGGAGTCGCAGGAGCGAGGTCGAGGAGCGAGATCAGGAGCGAGGTCCGAGGAGCGAGGAGAGAGTCCAGGAGTGAGGTCGAGGAGCGAGGAGGTCGAGGAGCAGGAGGAGAGCCAGGAGTGAGGTCGAGGAGCGAGATCGAGGAGCGAGGTCCAGGAGAGCGAGGAGGTCCAGGAGTGAGTCGAGGAGCGAGGTCCAGAGGAGCGAGGAGGTCGAGGAGCGAGGAGGAGTCGAGGTGAGCGAGGTCCAGGAGCGAGGTCGAGGAGCGAGATCCAGGAGTGAGGTCGAGGAGCGAGGTCCAGGAGTGAGGTCGAGGAGCGAGATCCAGGAGTGAGGTCCAGGAGTGAGGTCCAGGAGCGAGGTCGAGGAGCGAGATCGAGGAGCGAGATCCAGGAGCGAAGGTTCTTTCTCACCAGCAGCACCAGTCGTTCCATGGGATCCAGAAGTTCTTAGCTGGGTTGGTTTTGGGTTGGGTTTTTTTTTGGTTTGGATTAGTTTTGGGATTGTTGTTTTTTTTTTTGTTTGGGTTGGTTTTTGGGTTTGTTTTTTTTGGTTTTGGGTTGGTTTAGGTCGTTTGGGTCGGTTTTAGGACCAGACAAACCCTGGCTGTTGTGTATCTGTCTCGTTCATGAAGATATTTAGAACTTACTCTGACAGTTTGAAACTTTAAAAATCCTCCGTAAAACCTTCAGGACTTTTGTCTTTTCACTGTTTCCAAAAAAAACCAAAAAACAAACAAAACACTGATGCGGATCATTTGGGACTGAAACTGAAACGGCTTCTAGTGTGTTTGGGATCAGCTCCACAAACTTCACCTGCCTCACCTGCCTCACCTGTCCCACGTGTCCCACCTGTCCACCTGTCCTCACCTGTCCACCTGTCCCACACTGTCCCTGTCCACTGTCCCACCTGTCCCACCTGCCTGTCCCACCTGCCTCACCTGCCTCACCTGTCACTTGTCTTACCTGCCCCACCTGTCCCACCTGTCCCACCTCCGTGTCCACTGCCTCACCTGCCCCACCTGTCCACTTGTCTTACCTGCCCCACCTGCCCACCTGTCCACCTGTCCCACTCCCACGTGCCCACCTGCCTCACCTGTGCCCACCTGTCCCACTTGTCTACCTGCCCACCTGCCTCACCTGTCCCACCTGTCCCACCTGCCTCACCTGCCTCACCTGCTCCACTGCTCACCTGCCCACCTTCCCACTGTCCACCCTGTCCCCACCTGCACCTGCCCCTGTCCACTGTCCTGTCCACCTGCCTCACCTGTCCTCACCTGTCCCACCTGTCCCACCTGTCCCACTGTCCCACCTGTCCTGCCACCTGTCCCACCTGTCCCACCTGCCTCACCTGCCTCACCTGTCCCACCTGTCCCACCTGTCCCACCTGCCTCACCTGTCCCACCTGTCCCACCTGCCTACTGTCCCACCTGCCCACCTGTCCCCACCTGTCCACCTGCCTCACCTGCCTCACCTGTCCACCTGTCCCACCTGCCCACCTGCCTCACCTGTCCCACCTGTCCCACCTGTCCCACCTGCCCACCTGCCCACCTGTCCCACTGCCCTGCTCACCTGTCCCACCTGTCCCACCTGCCTCACCTGCCCCACCTGTCCCACCTGTCTCACCTGTCGGGATTTTAAACGTGCTGATGTCACATGAACACAGAGTCCAGACTGAGGAGAGCCAGAGCTAAGCAGGAGCAAGACCAGGACCAAGACCAGATCATGGACCAAACCATGGGCCAGACCATGGACTAGACCGAGGACAAGATCAAGGACCAGGAGCAGGACCAGACCAGGACCAGGACCACATCAAGGACCAGATCACGGACCAGACCAGACCAGAACCAGACCAGGACCAGGATCAAAGCGGGACCAGACCAGGACGAGACCAGGACCAAAGCAGGAGCAGCAGGAGCAGCAGACACACCTGTCACACCTGTCACACCTGTCTCACCTGTGTCGGTGGTTCTTACCTGGAGCCAGGCCCTCTGCCCTGCCCTTGAGCCCCGCGCTGACGTGGGCCCCCGCAGCGCCCCCCACAGTCTCCAGAGGGAACGCGGCTCTGTCTCTGAACGCCTTGGAGCGCACAAACTCTCTGTCTTTACCTTTGGAGCCTTTGGGACGCCCCGCCGTCTTCTTCTTCGATTTACTGTCGCCCTTCACGCCCAGCAGGGGGTGCACTTCTACAAAACACACAAAAAAATACAAAAACACACACAGGTCAGGTCCAGCAGGGGGATTAGACACTGGTTCAGTCCACAAAAACAAAGGTTCAGTCCACAGGTTTCAGTCCGTCCAGTCGTGGAGTCCGTGTTTAGTCCTGGTTCAGTCCCGTTTTAGTCCCTGGTTTAGACCTGGTTTAGTCCTGTTTTAGTCCTGTTTTAGTCCTGTTTTAGTCCTGTTTTAGTCCTGTTTTAGTCCTGGTCTAGTCCTGGTTTAGTCCTGGTTTAGTCCTGGTTTAGTCCTGGTTTAGTCCTGTGTTAGTCTTGGTTTAGTCTGGTTTAGTCCTTTAGTTTGTTTAGTCTTGTTTTAGTCTTGTTTTAGTCCCTGGTTTAGTCTTGTTTTTAGACCTGGTTTAGTCCTGGTTTAGTCCTGGTTTCTAGTCTTGTTTTAGTCTTGTTTTAGTCTTGGTTTAGTCCTGGTTCAGTCCTGGTTCAGTCCTGGTTCAGTCCTGGTTTAGTCCTGGTTTAGTCTTGTTTTAGTCTTGTTTTAGTCTTGTTTTAGTCCTGGTTTAGTCCTGGTTCAGTCCTGGTTCAGTCCTGGTTCAGTCCTGGTTTAGTCCTGGTTTAGTCCTGTCCTGGTTTAGTCCTGGTTCAGTGGTTTAGACCTGGTTTAGTCTGTTTAGTTCAGTCCTGGTTTAGTCCTGGTTTAGACCTGGTTTAGTCCTGGTTTAGTCCTGGTTTAGTCCTGGTTTAGTTCTGGTTTAGTCCTGGTTAGTCCTGGTTCAGTCCTGGTTTAGTCCTTGTTTTTAGACCTGGTTTAGTTCTGGTTCAGTCCTGGTTCAGTCCTGGTTTGGTTTAGACCTGGTTTAGTCCTGGTTTAGTCCTGGTTTAGTCCTGGTTTAGTCTGGTTTAGTCCTGTTTAGTCCTTGTTTTAGTCTGGTTCAGTCCTGGTTCAGTCTGGTTTAGTCCTGGTTTAGACCTGGTTTAGTCCTGGTTCAGTCCTGGTTTAGACCTGGTTTAGTCCTGGTTTAGTCCTGGTTTACCTGGGTTTAGTCTGGTTTAGACCTGGTTTAGTCTGGTTCTCCTGGTTTAGTCCTGGTTTAGTCCTGGTTTAGTCCTGGTTTAGTCCTGGTGGTTTGTAGTCTTGTTTTAGACTGGTTTAGTGGTTCCCTGGTTCAGTCTGGTTTAGTCCCTGGTTTAGTCTGTTTAGTCCTGGTTTAGTCCTGGTTTAGTCCTGGTTCAGTCCTGGTTTAGTTCTGGTTTAGTCTTGTTTTAGACTTGTTTAGACCTGTTTTAGTCCTGGTTTAGTCTTTAGTCCTGGTTTAGTCCTGGTTTAGTCCTGGTTTAGTCCTGTTTAGTCCTGGTTTAGTCCTGGTTTAGTTGGTTCAGTCCTGGTTAGTCCTGGTTTAGTCCTGGTTTAGTCCTTGTTTAGTCTGTTTTGTTGTTTTAGTCCTGGTGGTTTAGTCCTGGTAGTTAGTCCTGGTTTAGTCTGGTTAGTCCTGGTTTAGTCCTGGTTTAGTTCTGTTTAGTCTGTTTTAGTCTTGTTTAGTCCTGTTTAGTCCTGGTTAGTCTTGTTTAGCCTGTTTTAGTCCTGTTTTAGTCCTGTTTAGTCTGTTTTCCTGTTTAGTCCTGGTTTAGTCCTTGTTTAGTCCTGGTTAGTCCTGGTTCAGTCTCAGTCCTGTTTAAGGTTTAGTCCTGGTTTAGTCTTGTTTAGTTTTAGTCTTGTTTTAGTCTTGTTTTAGTCCTGTGTTAGTCCTGGTTGTAGTCCTGGTTTAGTCTGGGTTTAGTCCTGGTTTAGTCCTGGTTTAGTCCTGGTTAGTCCTGGTTTAGTCTTGTTTTAGTCTTGTTTTAGTCCTTGTTTAGTCCTGTTTAGTCCTGGTTCAGTCTGGTTTAGTCCTGGTTTAGTCCTGGTCAGTCTTGTTTTAGACTTGTTTTAGTCTGTTTAGTCCTGTTTAGTCCTGGTTCAGTCCTGGTTAGTCCTGGTTTATCCTGGTAGTCCTGGTTTAGTCTGGTTTTAGTCCTGGTCCTGTTTAGTCCTGGTTTAGTCCTGGTTTAGTCCTGGTTAGTAGTCCTGGTTTAGCCTGTTTAGTCCTGGTTTAGTCCCTGGTTTAGTCTGTCCTGGTTTCAGTCCTGGTTTAGTCCTGGTTTATCCTGTTTACTCCTGTTCAGTCCTGTTATCCTGGTTTAGTCCTGGTTTAGTCCTGGTTAGTCCTGTTTAGTCCGTTTTAGACTTGTTTTAACCTGGTTTAGTCCTGGTTTAGTCCTGGTTCAGTCCTGGTTTAGTCCTGGTTTAGTCCTGGTTTAGTCCTGGTTTAGTCCTGTTTATCTTGTTTTAGACTTGTTTTAGACCTGGTTTAGTCCTGGTTATCCTGTTTAGTCCTTGGTTAGTCTTTTTTAGTTTTAGTCTGGTTTAGTCTTGTTTAGTCCTGGTCAGTCCTGGTTTAGTCCTGTTTAGTCCTGGTTTCAGTAGTCCTGTTCAGTCCTGTTAGTCCTGGTTTGAGAAGGTGCTCGGTGTTGGTGTGTGCGCTCCGTACCGTCGCTGGGCACCCCCTGCAGCTCGATGGTGGTAGTGCGGGCCTTCTTTTTGGCCGGTGGGTCGGCGCCGCTCTGCTTCTGTTTCTTGTCTCCGGAGGGGGCGTCGTCGGGGGCGGCGGCGGTCTGGGCGTCCGGCGGGGGACCGTACGGGTTCTCCTCGGGGTCTTCCACCTCCGGGGCGATGGGCAGGTACAGGAGCGCCCGCGAGTCCTCCAGCTCCTCGTCGCTGCACCCAACAAAAACAAGAATGAAGAAAAACAAAAAACAAGAACATGTGAAGTAACAGGACTAAACCAGGACTAAACCAGATAAACCAGACTAAACCAGACTAAACCAGGACTAAACCAGGACTAAACTAAACCAGGTCTAAACCAGGACTAAACCAGGACTAAACCAGAACTAAACCAGGAAACCAGGTCTAAAACAGGACTAAACGGACTAAACCAGACTGAACCAGGACTAAAGGACTAAACCAGGTCTAAACCAGGTCTAAACCAGGAACTAAACCAGGACTAAACCAGGACTAACTCAGGACTGAACTCAGGACTAAACCAGGTCTAACACAGGACTAAACCAAGAGTAAACCAGGACTAAACCAGGTCTAATACAGGTCTAACACAGGACTAAACCAGGACTAAACCAGGACTAAACCAGGACTAAACCAGGTCTAAACCAGGTCTAAAACAGGTCTAACCAGGACTAAACCAAGAGTAAACCAGGACTAAACCAGGACTAAACCAGGTCTAAACCAGGTCTAAACCAGGTCTAAACCAGGACTAAACCAGGACTGAACCAGGACTGAACCAGGACTGAACTCAGGACTAAACCAGGTCTAAACCAGGTCTAAACCAGGACTAACCAGGACTGAACTCAGGACTGAACTCAAACAGGTCTAACACTAACTAAAACCAGGACTAAACCAGGACTAAACAGGACTAAAACCAGGTCTAAACAGTCAGGACTAAACCAGGACTAAACCAGGACTAAACCAGACTAAACCAGGACTAAACCAGGACTAAGGTCTAAACAAGACTAAAACCAGGACTAAACAGGACTAAACCAGGACTGAACCAGGACTAAAACCAGGAAACTAAACCAGACTAAACCAGGACTGAACCAGGACTAAACCAGGTCTAAAACAAGACTAAAACCAGTCTAAACCAGACTAAACCAGGACTAAACCAGGACTAAACAGGACTAAACCAGGACTAAACCAGGACTAACCAGGACTAAACCTAGGACCAGGACTAAACCAGGACTAAAGGTCCAGGTCTAAACCAGGACTAAACCAGGACTAAAACTAAACAGGACTAAACCAGGTCTAAACCAGGTCTAAACCAGGACTAAACAGGACTAAACCAGGACTAAACCAGGTCTAACCAGGACTGAACCAGGACTAAACCAGGACTAAACCAGGTCTAAACCAGGTCTAAACCAGGACTGAACCAGGACTGAACCAGGTCTGAAACCAGGACTAAACACAACCAGGACTAAACTAACCAGAAAACCAGGAACTAAACCAGGACTAAACCAGGTCTAAACCAGGTCTAAACCAGGTCTAAACCAGGTCTAAACCAGGACTGAACCAGGACTGAACCAGGAACTAACCAGGACTAAAACTGAACAGGACTGAAGGTCTAAACCAGGTCTAAACAGGGACTAAACCAGGACTGAACCAGGACTGAACCAGGACTGAACTCAGGACTAAACCAGGACTAAAACCAGGACTAACCAGAGTAAACCAGGACTAAACCAGGACTAAACAGGACTAAACCAGACTAAACCAGGACTAAACCAGGTCTAAACCAGGACTAAACCAGGACTAAAACCAGGTCTAAACCAGGTCTAAACCAGGTCTAAACCAGGACTAAACCAGGACTGAACTAAACCAGGACTAAACCAGGTAAACCAGGTAAACCAGGAACTAAACCAGGACTAAACCAGGTCTAAACCAGGTCTAACTAAACCAGGACTAAACCAGGACTAAACCAGGACTAAACCAGGACTAACCAGGTCTAAACCAGGACTCTAAACCAGGACTAAACCAAACTAACAGGACTGAAACCAGGTCTAAACCAGGTCTAAACCAAACCAGGACTAAACCAGGACTAAACCAGGACTAACAGGACTAAACCAGGTCTAAAGGTCCAGGTCTAAACCAGGTCTAAACCAGACTAAACCAGGACTAAACCCAGGACTAACCACCAGGACTCAGGAAACCAGGACTACAGGAAACCAGGACTAAACAGGACTAACAGGTCTAAACCAGGCTAAACCAGGTCTAAACCAGGTCTAAACAGGTCTAAACCAGGACTTAAACCAGGATAAACCAGGACTAACTAAACCAGGTCTAACCAGGCTAAACCAGGACTGAACCAGGACTAAAGGACTCCAGACTAAACCAGGTCTAACCAGGACTAAAAGGACTAACCAGACTAAACCAGGACTAAACCAGGACTAAACCAGGATAAACCAGGACTAAACCAGGACTAAACCAGGTCTAAACCAACTTTAAATCCTTCTGAGAAATTAAACGTCATTTAAAATTCTAAATCTGATGAAACACATTTTTATTTAACTGATCTTGTGTTAAAACATTGAAATATAAAAATGTTAAAACTTCTTCTCAAATCGCCGCGTTACTTTCGTCCGTCCGTTTGTGTCGCGTTTCTGACCTGCTGCAGAACGCCACGATGGGGTCGACCGACGTCACGTCCACCTCCTCGTCCTCAGCGGCGTCCCCTCCTGGACAAAACACACCACACGGTCTTAAATCACTACAACGCCCCCTCCTGGACAAAACACACCTTCACTGCTCCCTTACAACTACAGCGCCCTCCTGACAAACAAAACACACCACACGTCTTTAAATACACTGCTCCCTACAACTACAGCGCCCCCTCCCTGCTCCCTACAAAACACACCCACACGGTCTTTAAATACACTGCTCCCTACAACTACACGTCCTGGACAAAACACAACCACACGGTCTTTAAATACACTGCTCCCTACAATACAGCGCCCCTCCTGGACAAAAACCACCACACGGTCTTTAAAACACACTGCTCCCTACAACTACAGCGCCCCCTCCTGGACAAAACACACCACACGGTCTTTAAATACACTGCTCCCTACAACTACAGCGCCCCCCTCCTGGACAAAACACACCACAGTCTTTAAAATACACTGCTCCCTACAACTACAGCGCCCCCTCCTGGACAAAACACACCACACAGTCTTTAAATACACTGCTCCCTACAACTACAGCGCCCCCTCCTGGACAAAACACCACAGTCTTAAATACACTGCTCCCTACAACTACAGCGCCCCCCTCCTGGACAAACACACACACACAGTCTTTAAATACACTGCTCCCTACAACTACAGCGCCCCCTCCTGGACAAAACACACCACACGGTCTTTAAATACACTGCTCCCTACAACTACAGCGCCTCCTCCTGGACAAAACACACCACACGGTCTTTAAATACACTGCTCCTACAACTACAGCGCCCCTCCTGGACAAAACACACCACACGGTCTTTAAAACACTGCTCCCTACAACTACAGCGCCCCTCCTGGACAAAACACACACACCACACGGTCTTTAAATACACTGCTCCCTACAACTACAGCGCCCCCTCCTGGACAAAACACACCACACGTCTTTAAATACACTGCTCCCTACAACTTACAGCGCCCCCTCCTGACAAAAACACACCACACGGTCTTTAAATACACTGCTCCCTACAACTACAGCGCCCCCTCCTGGACAAAACACACCACACGGTCTTTAAATACACTGCTCCCTACAACTACAGCGCCCCCTCCTGGACAAAACACACCACACGGTCTTTAAATACACTGCTCCCTACAACTACAGCGCCCCCTCCTGGACAAAACACACCACACGGTCTTTAAATACACTGCTCCCTACAACTACAGCGCCCCCTCCTGGACAAAACACACCACACAGCATTTAGATACACTGCTCCCTACAACTACAGCGCCTCCTCCTGGAAAAAACACACCACACAGTCTTTAAATACACTGCTCCCTACAACTACAGCGCCCCCTCCTGGACAAAACACACCACACGGTCTTTAAATACACTGCTCCCTACAACTACAGCGCCCCCTCCTGGACAAAACACACCACAGTCTTTAAATACACTGCTCCCTACAACTACAGCGCCCCCTCTGGACAAAACACACCACAGTCTTTTAAATACACTGCTCCTACAACTACAGCGCCCCCTCCTGGACAAAACACACCACAGTCTTTAAATACACTGCTCCCTACAACTACAGCGCCCCCTCCTGGACAAAACACACCACACGGTCTTTAAATACACTGCTCCCTACAACTACAGCGCCCCCTCCTGGACAAAACACACCACAGTCTTTAAATACACTGCTCCCTACAACTACAGCGCCCCCTCCTGGACAAAACACACCACAGTCTTTAAATACACTGCTCCCTACAACTACAGCGCCCCCTCCTGGACAAAACACACCACAGTCTTTAAATACACTGCTCCCTACAACTACAGCGCCCCCTCCTGGACAAACACACACCACACGGTCTTTAAATACACTCCTCCTGGACAAAACACACCACACAGCATTTAAATACACTGCTCCCTACAACTACAGCGCCCCTCCTGGACAAAACACACCACACAGTCTTTAAATACACTGCTCCCTACAACTACAGCGCCCCCTCCTGGACAAAACACACCACACAGCATTTAAATACACTGCTCCCTACAACTACAGCGCCCCCTCCTGGACAAAACACACCACACAGCATTTAAATACACTGCTCCCTACAACTACAGAAACATATACAGTCAGGAGAGCGTAAACACTGGAAAAATCTTATTTCAGTTTTAAATTCTGTGCTTAAATAAATAATGGGAAGAACAGATAACGGCTGAACCAGGACTAAAACAGGACTGAAACCAGGACTGAACCAGGACTAAAACAGGACTGAACCAGGACTAAAACCTGGAGAAAACACACCACAGCATTTTAAACCAACAGGTTTGTTCTGTTCTGCTTCAGTTTGTTCTTGTCATAATAATAGTTTTGCATCATCTCTGTCTTTATCACACGTGTGTTCTAACCCCTCAGTGTCCGTGTCACACGTGTGTCTGTACCCCTCAGTGTCCGTGTCACACGTGTGTTCTAACCCCTCAGTGTCCGTGTCACACGTGTGTCTAACTCCTCAGTGTCCGTGTCACACGTGTGTGTCTGTACCCTCGGTGTCCGTGTCACACGTGTGTGTCTGTACCCTCGGTGTCCGTGTCACACGTGTGTGTCTGTACCCTCGGTGTCCGTGTCACACGTGTGTGTCTGTACCCGTCTGCTCTGGTTCGCTCTTGTCTTCATCTTCGATGTCAAACTCAGACTCTCTTTCTTCATATTCCACGTTCTCGTCCAGTTCTTTAAAATCTGGAGCAAACGCGCTCCAGTTCTCCTGTAAACAGAACCAGACACAAACTTTAACCTCCTGCACCAAAACAAGAAAATATTACACACCTCTCAACACAACTATACACCACACACACACACACAACACACACACACAAACTGAATAAAGTCCACTACATTGTGTGTTTCTGTTCTGTGTTGTGTATTTTACGGTGTTGGACTGACCACTTGGTTCTGGGCCCAGATGGACACGACTCCGCTGGAGATGGAGGCGATGATCGGACGCACCGGATGCCACTGAAACACACGGGAAACACTTCAACACTTGATCTGATTCATTTTTGCGTTTCGTTCTGGACGTTTCACATGAACACGTCTTTAGTTCCACAAACACACGAGCTCAGTCTATTTGCTTCTAAAGAGTTAGTTTTAGTTTTCTCCTCACAGCCACGTCCAGCAGCAGTTCTCCTCTGGTCCCGTGGAGGATCTTCACCAGGTTCCCGATGCTCTTCTCCCAGATGTAGAGCGCGTGCTGCCGGGCCGAACCCGCCACGATGTACTCGCCGTCTCCAGAGAAGCAGCAGCGTTTCCACGGAGTCCTGAAACACCAGAGACGACAGGTTTAAAGGTTGTATAGAG